TGAAGCTTCATCTGTATTTACAGCCACCCACTGTCCATCGCTCACATCACCACCTGAAGTCCCCCCTTCCCCTGGGCCATGGAAAAATTGTCTTCTGTGAAAACGGTCCCTAGTACCAAAAAGGTTGGGGGCCGCTGCTTTAACTTGCAGGGTTGGAGATGGAAAGTATCTTCTTAAGATAAATGTTTGAAGTCCCCCCTCTTTATATTGGTAAGACAGCAGATCAACAGATACAAACTTATAAAACGTAAGTAGCATGTTCCACCTAGCATGCTGAGAAAATCCCCACCCCACTGGGCCCAGTTATTAGGCAATTTGTGTGGAGCAGCAGAGACTTTCCCTCATTCTTTCCCAGGGAGAATCCATGTAGAATGTTCAGGTGATGCTGCAGACCATCTATAAATGTCTGGACAGTCTTCTGGAGAAGACCTACTAGGGTGAAATTGGTTCTTCTCATACCCTCATCCACCTGAGCAGTTAGCAGCTGTTGCAGCTCACTTCAGAGCCCACCTATTTGGTCCCTCTTGGATCTCATCCTCTGGGGCAGGGAGAGGCCAGAATCAATCTTGGAGAAGTCAGCTAATCTAATGCCTCCAGATCAAGTGCTGCTTGTGATTTCTGACTTCTCAGATGTTTGGACATTGTACGCATAGCCTATTTTGACATGTAGATGGCACAGATCAGCAACCTCGAGACCCTTGTAATTCCTTCAACTTCTTCCTCTGAGCTCCTGGCAAGAGTGAAGAGCAAATGATTAATACCAGTATTTAGAGGGCATTCAGTAGACATACATTAATTGAAAAATGTGGCTTAGAAGTTGTAATAACTTAATTTCAGTTTATTAATTTATGTGAACATACTGTTTTTGCAATGCTTGCTGCATAATAACAGAATAAATGTCATAAATAAAAAAACCGAAGGAATGAAAGTTAAAAAAAAAAAAAACCAACATAAGCAGCATTAATAAGGTACCCATGAACTTAATTTTAAAACACTAGATTAGTATATCATCTTTGAAATGCACTCAAGGAAGCCTGATGCAAATAAAACTGTTAAATTTTGTGGAATTGACATTATTCCCTTGGGGTTATAACAACTAGAAATACAAGTAAATTTTTAAAAACATTTTGACAGAGTGAGCCAAAAGTAACTTAAGAAAACTGTCGTGATTAAACATATCAGTTTAAAACTCAAAGATCTTTTTTACATTATTGCCATTGTATTAGGATTCTTCAGAGAAAGAAAACCAACAAGTGCGTGGGTGGGTGGGTGTGTGTGGGTGGGTGGGTGTGTGTGTGTGTGCGCGTGCGCGCGTGTATGTAGAGAGAGAAGGAGAAAGAGATTTATTGTAAGGAATTGGTACACATGATTGTGGATGCCAGCAAGTTCAAATCTGTGGGGTAGGCAGGCAGGATGGATACCCAGGGTAAAGTTGGTGTTGCAGCTTGAGTCTAAAGGCAGTCTTCTGGCAGAATTTTTGCTTGCAGGAGGTCAGTCTTTTTTTCTGTTGAAGGCCTTCAACCGATCGATTGTATGAGGTCCACCCACATTCTGGAGGGTAGTCTGGTTTACTAAAAGTCTACTGATTTAAATGTTACTCTTATCCAAAAAATGCCTTCACAAAAACATCTAGAATAACGTTTGACCAAATATCTAAGTACTGTGACCAAGCCAAGGTGGTATATAAAATTAACTATCACAGGTGTCAAGATAGGTCTTATGCTGTTGATTTTAAGCTAAATTCACAACACATGAAATTTGAAGTTAACTCTTTGAGTTCTTTAAGTATGTGTGGACCTACGTATGTTACTTAGCCATTTAGCCTCAGCTTCTTACAAATCAAGATTATATTCTATATACCTAGTGCTTTTGTGGGATTCAAATAAAATAATTCATATAAAATACATTGAATTATTTTTTATTATAAAAATGTATACTGTATTAATTTTGATTATTCTATATTTGTAAAACAAGGTCCTTACTAATCAAAAAATCCAAATAGCTAGATGACTACTTAAAGACGAAAGTTCATTTTAAAGGTTTAAAATGACTAGATTTGTTACATCTATAACAAATCATTTTTTATTCATACCTTCATTGGTATTGACATCTAATTTAGTTCTGTATTTTACAAGCTACTAAAGATCACATGGCTATACAGAAAACTGAATATTCAGTTAAGAAAAATCTTTAATGCATTAAAAGCTGGTGCTGTAGACTGTGGTCCTTAACCCCTAGGCTGTGGAGCTCCACTACCCTGTTCCCCCCCACCCCCACCCCTCGATGGAAAAATTGTCTTCCATGAAACTTAAGAACCAGAGTGGGGGGGAGCAAGCGATGCTTCATCTGTATTTACAGCCACTCCGCATCGCTCACAT